AAAACATTCAATGACTGAGAGGTCACTCCAAGCTACAGGATTAGGGACGGCGTCGGGGGTGCAGGCAGAATCGTTGCTGGGCAGAGAATGCATTTCATCCGAGTTGGCTGGAACTTCATCCTTGTTGCTTGGCGAGTCGCCGCCCGGAGAACTCGATGTTGATTGGAAAGCACTTTCGGGAAAACCTGTCTCCAGCAGGCGTTGGCGGTACTCTGGAGACAAGCTGGCAGCGTGATTAGGCTTAAATGCGACAAGCAGCACCCTTTCGCCGGTCCAAGGCATGGTGCAGTGGGTTTCACGGCAATTTAGGGTACACGGCCCATCGGCAACCCTAACTAAGGACCTAGAAAGGCTAAACCCTAGCTCGTCCTGCACGATGTCGTTGCCAGGCCCTTTTTGCCAGACCTCTCCACCTCGGAGGGCGGTGATCGGGATCAAGTAATTTCGCAACCCCATCTCGTTATTTACGTCGATATGCAACGCAGTCTGAAGGTTCTTCTAAATCGCAACAGCAGTGAAGTCGGCATCCGGAAAAGCGCGTACAAGCTGGGAAACAGAAGTGTGTTTCCTGATGCCTCGGAGCGGTCCTTTGGCATAGGCTCCTGAAGTCCAGGAGAAAGTGTTTTTCCTTCCCTAATCTGTGAATAAAACTGCTCAGCTGGGTGCACCGGCTCAACGGGTCCCCGGCGAATCAAGCTGATGCGAATCTGGCATTAGCGAATCCTGACCTCCAGCTGAGGTCGATTTGACTGGTGTAACAGCGGCTCCTCTGTCATTCGGTCTGCACAGAACCTTTCGGAACAACTGTCAGCAGTCACTTGTTTCTCTTTGGACACTCCTGGATACCATGGTCAGGCGCAAAGCACAACGCACAAACATGCAAGCCTTTAGGGCACGGATCCTGAGTGCAACCGCATGGCAGATTCCTGGAGAAACAAATGCTGATCCCCGCCCTCTTCTCTCTTTCTTTCGCTCTCCCTCCCTCCCTCTCTGTCTCTTTCTCGCTCTCGCTCACTTTCTCTCCCCCCATCCTTTGTCTTCGTCTGCGTAATGCCTCGCAGATATGCAGCTGTAGCTGCAGCAATGCAATAACAGAGGTACTCGGTGTCGTGTGCACAACGAGTATGGTCTTCAGCAATCATTGTCGTGCCTCGTGTCAACTGGCGTGCCTTCTCGGAAAGTCGAGTGCCCTTGGGCGGTTGGCGTGCCTTTTGCCTCATAATCATGAGGTCTCCTGCACGTGGCTATGGGGAGATACTGGGCTGCCTTGCAGGATGTGCGCATGATTGCGGCATTGAACGGAGATGTTGGATTGCCGAAGTCTCAGCCGTTGAATGACACAGTTCGTGAACCTCGGGTAGGAGACCAAGGGTTCTGGAGACTGGCAGTCGGCGCCGCGTCGTGGCCTTCAGCGTTATGCGCCCCCCCCCCCACAGCCCTCCGTCTCCTCCTTCGTGCTCATCCACTCTCCGCTTTCAGCGGGGCTGCTGCCATCATCAGATTGCGTCCACAGAGTAATGCCCGAGAGGTGGCTCGTCACACTCAGGTCAGTCATTCGTCGAGTCATCTCTTCGCCTTCTTTTTGCAAGGCCTTTTGCCAGGGAGAGTCTACCTCGTCTTGGGCCGCTCGGATGGCGGGGATGCTCGTCTGCGGCTCAAAAGCGCGGCTTCCAAAAACTCTCTGCCTCTGCTTCAATTGCACTTGCCTGGTCCTTCTCCTTCAAGGGCTGGCTCTTCGCTGCTGCCTTCGTATTTCTGTGCTGCCGGTGTTCGTCCCCCTGGCCGTCCGCTTCCCCTCCTGGATGTTAGGCTGGTGAGTCGAACATCTGCAAACAGAGTGCTTAGAAAGCACTGTCAGCATCAGTCCGTTGTCGTGGCTGGGGCATGCTGGGGTCAGGTCTTGCAAACCTGCTGCAGGTTCAGATCGTGCGGAGCAGCAAGCGAGAGCCCCGACAATCAGAGATTGTTAGCGCAGCTGTCGGACGTCACTGAAGTGTCTTGTCGCAGAACGTCGCGTCTGCTCTCAAGGTGACAAAGGAACGTGCGGAGTGTGGCCCTCAACATGTAGGATTCAGAAAATTGACCAGGTTCGTCCTTTACTCGCCAAACCCGAGGCATTTCTACATAGTCTGCAGTCGGCGTAAAACTTGATGATGGACGTGAATCGGTAGCTGCGGCCTCAGCGGTTGATCGCCTCACCCGGCATCTACGTGAGCAAACAGCATGGAGGCTTGGAAATCCAGACTGCTTCGGTGAACGAGCACTCTTGGGAAGTTAGTTTCGCGGTGCGAGCATCAAAGCATTGGAGGAGAGCTGTCTGCAATCTCTGCATTTGTGCCCATACATGTGCATGTGTTCAGGACACGAAGCTTCGGAAAACGGGGAAGGAACCTTTCCAGGCAATGATGTTTGGTGCAAAGCGTTAATCGCCGCATGGATGTAAAGCTTATGCGCTTTTCGCAACGCTGGGCCCCTGCCTGGACAACCTGAAACATCGCATTTCGATGCAGGACGCCGTGGGTGAAACGTAAGTTTTTCCTGCCAGTGGGGCGGCTGCAGGCCCATAATTTAGATACCGCAGGCACGTAAGTTGTTGTTTTGCAAAGGGCTTCGTGTAGACTGCGGTTCGAGTCTCCCCGCATTTCGGCCAAACGCTGTTATCGAGCAGATAGAGAAGTGCGACGCTGTGCAGCGAGCAAGAACGCCAGCAGGCCAGCAAGCTAGAAGATAGTCGGCAGTCGGCAGCGAGCAGGTTTAAGAAGTGGGATCAACCTCGATCTCCGGCCTGATGAGGGATCGGGCTTGGATCAGACACCATCGCCTCATGAGGGAGCGGGTTTGAGCAGGGTTCGCAACAAGGCTTCAGTCACAGGTCATAGTATACCCCGGATCCCCAGCCGGTTTGCTGTCTGCTTGCTTGTGCCTTGCGATGAGATCATGTGCTAAAATCCTCCGAGCCCACAGTCTTTACGAGGCCATCTCCCATGAATTATTGCCAAATTTCGGAAGAGCTGACCTTGTGGTTGCGCCTCACAGACAAGAGCAAGGTACATATATGATCCCGGTTCTCGGTTCACCGAGCCCCCCCCCCAAATGGTATCCCCCCCCCCCACGCTCCCCAAGCCGAATCTGTGTGTGACTGTGCAAGCTTTTTCCACACGAGAGCTCACACGCCAAGCAGACCCACACAGGAAACCCAAACCACACCACACCACAGGGGGGAGTGGGGTAACCAGCCTAAGCAGACCCACTTCCGAACCACACCACACCACATCACAGGGACAGGGAAGCAACCCACAACCACACCACACACCACAGGGGGGGAGGAGGAACCATTTGGGGGGGGAGGGGGGGCCGGCCGAACCGGGATCATATATGGTGCAGTGCTGCTGGGCCCTTCCCTTCCTTCCCCACGCCATGGTATCCCCCTCCCTTTGTAGTTCCCTGTGGTGTGGGCTCCCTCCCCCCTGTGGTTGCGGTCGGCTGCGCCCCCTTCCATGGCTATTGTTGGTTGCTAAGGATTTGGACCGTAGGATGTGATACAGTTCCATTGAACTCCGACCTGCCCTGAGCTCCACAGCCAATGATAGTGATGAGTATGATGGTGACGATGATGACGAAGATGGTGGCATTCGGACTCTCCTCCGGTCCCTTGCTCAAGAGTCTGGGGTTCTTAGGGTTTTCTGCGAAGCATAGTACCGTCTGTTCGCCAGGACATGCATCCGCTTCCCACGTCCTGCCTCCGGGCCTCCGCCCGCCGTGTCCAGTAACCTGCATCCCACGAACAATTACCCCGCGTGGGTGGTAGCTGAGGATCCCGCAGATCTGGTCCAAATCCGATCACTGGGTGGATGGGAAGCCTTCATGCACAATCTGCTAATCACTTGCACGTTCATGTAAATTTGCAAACCACATGTCGCGGCCAGTTTTCCTTCCGTGCTGCCATGAGGGCATTGCTGAATTCAGCGACTGGCGCTTCATTCCTGTTTTCCCCATGCATAGTTGACGCACGTCGCGACACATATTTCCCCACGACAAGGCTTGACAAACCGTCAGCCTCTGTAAGTTGCACAGACTCAACAGGCGCAATGCCCTTCATTCCGCCATTTGCACATGTCCCTGAGTGGACCGGGCTTGTGCATTTCAGTGTCAGAGTACACCGCAAGTTTTTGGCCGCAACAGCCGGCTCATGCCGGCTCCATCGATGTGAGACACGCATACAAATCGACATTTGTAGTCGGCAGTTAAAACGGGCTTGCCGAGGCTCATGAGGGAGCAGCTTAAGATTTGAAGTGATGTGCTCGCCGTGACATGGATGTCTCAAGCTTCGATATGTGACTTGATATGTCATCAGCACATGCCTCCGGCGGACACGAACGTGAAGGGTCACTTCTCGCTTGGACACGGGTGATGCATGCGCTCTCAGCAGGTTGCCCTGTGGCCAGTGAGGGAACAACGTTGATAGCAAGGCATGAGAAGTCCGTTCCTCGCTGCACAGCATCGTAAGACAGATTTAGGAACCCAAATCCCAAATAAAGAGCCTGAAAGGGCTACGTGTCTGGTGCGTTTCAGCTAGGTGCCTGCATGGGAAGCTTGAGTAGCCCAAGACACCCCTGACCTGCACCGTCAAAAAGGGTAAGTAGGGGCTGGTCAGAAGCGAGCTGCCATCATCATCGTCATCAGCATCATGGTCGCTGTCAAGTTGTCGCTCCTGCTGCCTGCGATTAGATTTTTGAGTCGCCCAAGGCGACCACAGTGACTCTCCCACAGGTTGCTAGCAATTGCGCAACGAAAAGCGGGCAGGGTGACCAGCATCCCCTAGTCATGTCGAGCAGTCTGCGATTTTTGTGAAGTCTAGAGATATGCTGCGGCCAGCACGGCTCCTGCTGCCGTTTCGTGGTGCGGATCTCTGGTTGTGAAGGAGGCGCTTGCGACAGCTAGTGCATGCGATCTCTGAGGGAGTGCATGGGCGAGCTGACAGGCTTTACCGATAGGACGACATGGCCAAGGCAAACTTTGGCGAACTCTTCCTGCAGAAAGTCCACGAAATGCGGCTCGGAAAGTCGAGTAAGACTTGCGCAAGCATCTGGCCGGAATCATCACAGTCCGTCTAAGGCCAGTGCCGCCCACGTTGCATGAGAAGCTCCAGGCTGGCTGCAAGAAACTGCGAGCATCGGCCTTCCCACTAGCTTCAGGAAACGGCGTGGATGCAAGGACATCCATACCTGGGAATCGTACTGACGGCCAACGGAGCTATGCAGCAGACAATGTCGGCCTGGTACCAGGATGCCGCCCGACCAGGAAAACTTTTGCAGCAACATGACGAATCGGAGCTCACATGCCAAAACATGCCTGCGCAGCTAAGGCGATTGACGTCAAGGCTGTGTCGGTGGTGTTCTTGACTTCTGAGCCACTACTTTTTGTTGCGCCAGGTGGTATACAATCACATCATCACGGAGCCGTCTGCTGCGGATTGTGCGAAGAGGTGCCTCTGCAACCCTTAACCGGCCACCGTCGTGCACCGGTGGTTCAACAGACATGCGAACTCTAAGGTATGACAGGCAAGTGGAGATCAGCTGCGCGGGCAAGGTGGCCAAGCTTACCTCAATCATCTTCGGTCACAGGGATTCCAGCTGGCTTCTCTGCACAGTCTTGTTGGCACTGTCCTTGAGGCAGTACCCTTAAAGGTCAGCCTTCACACACACACACACAGCTTTGAACAGAGTCGGTCTCCAAATTGCCAATCTAAAAACCTGCAGCCAACGGTAACTGAGATAAAACAAGGTGGGATGCTACTTCTCGCCTAGCAGAGGCATTGGGGCCACTTCCCCACCCTAGCAGCCCAAGAGTTGTGGCTGGGGAGTGAGGAGCAAGTCCTTGGGATCCTTTTCATCGGCAAAGAGCTATAGACAACTGCGCCGGTTTTGCGCGAACCATGCCTAGTAACGTCCTGGAGGCTAGGATCTTGATACACGCAGTATATCACAAACCCAATGTGTCTTTTGTGTGCAGCAGCCTCCGTGCGGATTCGTACCATGCCAGTGCAGCTTCGGAAAGGTGTTTTGCATTGCGACTTCGCAAGTGGTTCTTCGGACCGAAGAAGCCGTGGAAGCTGTGGAGTCCGGTGGAATTGGCATTGCGCAGCTCTTCAAGCACTTTTCGATCGTGCCGGACTGCGTTCTGACGCTTGGCAGGGAAGCGGTCTAGCTGTGGGTTCATTGAGCAAGAATGCGGTCAAAGAACCACGAGACACGTCGCTTGGTGTAGTCAAGAGCGGTGGGATCCTCAACTCTCACCCTCCCCTCGGTTTTGCATGGGAGGCGGGGTTTGGAGTGGTTTGGAAACGTCGGTGCCGTGCGACTGTGCCTCAACTCGATGTCCTGACTGGGGCCTGGAGTCATGCGGAGATCTGCCATGCTTTGCTTATGCTGCCTGGGCCTAAGCTGCCTGCATGCAAAGCTGCACAGAGCCCTGCGAAACTGGGGACTTGCGCCATGCCATACCCGTAAAGACCTGGAGGTAGCACTGCTGTTGTTATTAGTGCCTTCAAGCCTACCGCCCAAGTCGGCCCTGCCGAGACTGGACGCGGGTGAGCAGCCTGGTTGCTTCGGAGAACTTTGGCGTGGCTGGCCGCAATGGATTGGGGTGCTATGGGCCTTGCAACCTTTATTGTGACGATTATAGTCGCATGATTTTCAATGTTTCTTACTTGATTAGATTATCAGCAATCGTTGCCATGATGGCAAAAGTTATTGCTGAAACTACCACTGTTGATGGTTGCGGTGATGACTGACGGAAAAAGCATGACCTTTTTGCCATGTCATGGTGAGTCGAAACGACTTAGTCGTCACTTGTCAATCACTTTCTCAAATTCTCGAATGTAGGTGGCCGTGGACATGCTTAGTGGCCCCACACCGAAACATTTTCCGGCCTCCGGGTTGGATAGGCAAGTACGTGCTTGCCGGCGGCGGCATCGAGTGCTACATTGTGGAGGAGTTCTGTCACGACTTCATGGATATGCGGCTCGTCCCAGGAAACGAGTTAATTTCCATCCTTCGTCAGGTTGTGGCATGGGTGGATTCCAGATTTCAGGCTTTGATGGCTTAAGTGCGCAGGTATGAGGCCTTGTATGGTCGTGACGTTTGCTTCGGGATGCACGTGGTGGGGCACTGCTTGGAGGCACGCGGCAAACAGGCTATTTTGACGCCGCTTGTGGCTGAGTGCTGTGGCAACTGAGGTTCGATTCGGACACAAGAGGCTCAAGGGGGGCAGGGGTCAGCTCGTGTCAATGTTCAGAAGGGTTCAATCACATGAAATCATCCTGGAGAGTTGCCGAGATATACGTAAGGGTCGTGGCACCTGTTGCGAGGGGGGAAGGGGTCGAATGCGCACTGTATTCGGGGTCACTGGCAGCGCTGTTCCTAGTGTTGACCGTCTGACTGTCACTGCTATAGCTGCTAGTCGTATTTGTGTCACAAGCAATGAAGACAGAAGGCTGGAAAGCCGATAATTAAGCCCTGAACGGCGGCCGGGCAACCCGAAGCCCTAGAAGCAGATGTTGCGATGTTGTGTCGCGAACCCTGAACGGCCCTGAATCCTTAAAACGAACGTTGAGGTGGGAAATCCTGAGCCCTAAACAGGGTGTTGGGTGAGAAGCAGCCTTTTCGACCGATCTGCTGGCCGCCTAGAAACGCAAGAGCCACCGAAGGAGATGTTGCTGTTACACTCCAACATCCCAACATGTTTGGTTCAACCCAAGAAGATGGTTTGGTTCGGACACCTAAACATTGTTATAGGTTTCAGCTGGGAAACCTGAAACCTCCCAACGGAGAAACACGGCCGGAAGCTGTAGCGATGTTCGATGTGAAGTTTGCGCAACGAGTCACCGGGGCAAGATGGCGCATCACCCGTTCCTTCTTGGGAAGCACGACAGCTCTAGAGTTGCTGGGTTACATGGCTCTTGCTCTTCTGATTTTCACTGGTCACCTATCGGTCCCGTTCTTCGGTTTGGTCTTGGATGATCCTCGGCAAGCCATATCAGTATTAGCTAGTCTCCCCGCGGGGATCCCACGCTGTCGGTACGGAGACGAAACTGCCCGAGGGATTGGGCCGAAACGATGCTTTTGAATGTCCAGCGCGCTCCCACCAAACAGGTTTGTCGAAAAGGTCAAGGTTGTGCCCTTGGCAGGACTTTCCTAGCCGGTGCTATCCGTTCTTAACTCCAACAGCAGAACTGCAACTGTTTCAACACTTCCGTCCTCAGACAAGCAGTTATGCCATTTTGTCGATACGGTAAGCCCAAAAACCGCTTGTCCGCTTGACGGCATCTCTTACTAGGCGAAATCAGCAGCCATGCAGGCGACTCGACATCTCCCGAGTGGTAGTACTTGTCGGAAGCATCAGCAGTTCGCCTTTGGACTAGATACTAGCTCATTTTCTCGGCTCGTTGCAGCGCCCAACAGAAGCACTGGGACAGCAGGGCAGGTCCTAGCATTGTCTCCCAAGATAAGCTCATCTGTGGACCACGGAGGTGTAAGGAGTTGAGACAGTTTTTAATCTACTCCTACCGCGCAGTCGCTCTGCTTGCAAGGCTTGCGTGTTGTCAAAGTTTATGCGCAAAACTTGCGGGCCAAGTCTGGGCATGTCTGGGCAGGCGTTTCGAAGGAATCCAGCAACAGCTCAGTCTCCACGGTTTCCACCACGGCATCCTTCACGTCCTCGGTTTCAACAACTCCGCAGTTGCGCCTTTGTCAGCTCGGCTGCCGTGTCTGTGCTTTTTGAATCTGAGACTTGCCGCCTGCGTGATGACCTCTCCTGCTGAGGAGTGGAACGCGTTGTCACAATGTGGTTGATGATCAGTCCCGTGGAAACATGTAGAGGAGACTCTCCTGTTTTAAGCACCTCGCAACGAGCTGCGGCTTAGGATCGGGCAGATTGCGAGTCCTTTGCAAAGGGTGCTACTCATGGCAGAGTCTTTTCCGCAGTTGGCTGGCCGCCGTTTTTGGCATCAGAGCAGCTCAGTGCTCCGGCGAGGCCGGCTCAGTGACCCGCATTCTGACGTCCTACCACAAGGCCAGTCACCGTACCGACTTGCTGGACGTGGTATGACGTGATGGCCCCTTGCGCTCCGCACATGTCTCATCCACACACGTCCGTGACATGTCGTCGCACGCTGTGTGAGCAGGTTTCCGTCTCCACTGAGCTCATCAGCTGCTCACCTCGAGGCACGTGCAGCCTGGATGCCATGAGCAGGCTGTCACAAGCTGGCGCATCACGACCCAGGCTCCAACAAGTACGATTGCCACACGATGCTGACCTGTGGAGGCAGGGAGTTCTCTCGTGTGGTTATCCCAAGCGAGGGCTTAGGGATACTTAGGGCTTAGGATTTCCCGCGTCCTTCCCTGCGCCTTCCCAAATCGGTGCCGGCCTCTTTCTGCGTTTTGCTGTCGGTTGCATTCCCGTTTCTATCATCCGATCATCCTGTGTTGGTAGACAGAAATGCCGTGAGAGCATGTCGGTGTTCTGCGCGCATGCGCCGGCAAAGCAACATACAGGGGCACGTGGCACGTGTCCTTCTGTTTCCGCATATCGAAGTGGCTGCAGCTGGGCATGCAAGCTGCGGAGAGGCATCGAGTTCTGCCGAGTTCGGGCTTGCTTCGACCTAGAGTCTGCCGAGGCCAAGGACCTCTGGCAGGGCTTCAGCCCGGCTTCAGTAAAGAATGCGAAAGTTTGTTTCTTGCAGCTGCTGCCCATGCCAGAACATGCGAAATCCGGCCTTGGCTACTTGTAACACGTGCTGGTAAGCTTGGCAGGTGTCTTAGATAATCTCATTGGGGAGTGTTGGGTGCAGGAGCTTGTCGCCGAAAGCTTCCCAACCGCAAGGAGTTGATCCAAGGCAATGCAAGCGCAGCAGGGGGGTCCAGACCTGGAAATCCCAGGCCAAGGTGAAGTGGGTGCCCTTTTCGACCGTCTGGCCGTCCCGCCCAAGCTCTCCTTGCGCGAGGCACGGATGCGATCTTGAGATCATTTATGGCTCAGTGTTTCTCGTCGCGTGGCATCGGCAGGTGAAGTTCACTGAAGACGGCTTTGGCCGTGCTTACACGCTGATGTCGCCAGGACGAGACGAGACAGGGAACAGCGCACAGCGCAGCACAAGCTGCCATTCTGCGCCCGGAGGACTGACGTGCGAGATCATTGAGGAGTACAGCAATGCAGCACTGATTTTACCTGAGATTGCAAAGCCCATGCAGCCCTCGACGAGCCTTGGGCCTTTGGAGACATAGTGTCTGCAGTGTTTCAAACTTTCGTGTCCCGCTCATGTTCTGTTAAGTTTGGTGAGTCTGGGGTTCTTAGGGTTTTCTGCGAAGCATAGTACCGTCTGTTCGCCAGGACATGCATCCGCTTCCCACGTCCTGCCTCCGGGCCTCCGCCCGCCGTGTCCAGTAACCTGCATCCCACGAACAATTACCCCGCGTGGGTGGTAGCTGAGGATCCCGCAGATCTGGTCCAAATCCGATCATTGGGTGAATGGGAAGCCTTCATGCACAATCTGCTAATCACTTGCACGTTCATGTAAATTTGCAAACCACATGTCGCGGCCAGTTTTCCTTCCGTGCTGCCATGAGGGCATTGCTGAATTCAGCGACTGGCGCTTCATTCCTGTTTTCCCCATGCATAGTTGACGCACGTCGCGACACATATTTCCCCACGACAAGGCTTGACAAACCGTCAGCCTCTGTAAGTTGCACAGACTCAACAGGCGCAATGCCCTTCATTCCGCCATTTGCACATGTCCCTGAGTGGACCGGGCTTGTGCATTTCAGTGTCAGAGTACACCGCAAGTTTTTGGCCGCAACAGCCGGCTCATGCCGGCTCCATCGATGTGAGACACGCATACAAATCGACATTTGTAGTCGGCAGTAAAACGGGCTTGCCGAGGCTCATGAGGGAGCAGCTTAAGATTTGAAGTGATGTGCTCGCCGTGACATGGATGTCTCAAGCTTCGATATGTGACTTGATATGTCATCAGCACATGCCTCCGGCGGACACGAACGTGAAGGGTCACTTCTCGCTTGGACACGGGTGATGCATGCGCTCTCAGCAGGTTGCCCTGTGGCCAGTGAGGGAACAACGTTGATAGCAAGGCATGAGAAGTCCGTTCCTCGCTGCACAGCATCGTAAGACCGATTTAGGAACCCAAATCCCAAATAAAGAGGGCTACGTGCCTGGTGCGTTTCAGCTAGGTGCCTGCATGGGAAGCTTGAGTAGCCCAAGACACCCCTGACCTGCACCGTCAAAAAGGGTAAATAGGGGCTGGTCAGAAGCGAGCTGCCATCATCATCGTCATCAGCATCATGGTCGCTGTCAAGTTGTCGCTCCTGCTGCCTGCGATTAGATTTTTGAGTCGCCCAAGGCGACCACAGTGACTCTCCCACAGGTTGCTAGCAATTGCGCAACGAAAAGCGGGCAGGGTGACCAGCATCCAGTAGTCATGTCGAGCAGTCTGCGATTTTTGTGAAGTCTAGAGATATGCCGCGGCCAGCACGGCTCCTGCTGCCGTTTCGTGGTGCGGATCTCTGGTTGTGAAGGAGGCGCTTGCAACAGCTAGTGCATGCGATCTCTGAGGGAGTGCCTGGGCGAGCTGACAGGCTTTACCGATAGGACGACATGGCCAAGGCAAACTTTGGCGAACTCTTCCTGCAGAAAGTCCACGAAATGCGGCTCGGAAAGTCGAGTAAGACTTGCGCAAGCATCTGGCCGGAATCATCACAGTCCGTCTAAGGCCAGTGCCGCCCACGTTGCATGAGAAACTCCAGGCTGGCTGCAAGAAACTGCGAGCATCGGCCTTCCCACTAGCTTCAGGAAACGGCGTGGATGCAAGGACATCCATACCTGGGAATCGTGCTGACGGCCAACGGAGCTATGCAGCAGACAATGTCGGCCTGGTACCAGGATGCCGCCCGACCAGGAAAACCTTTGCTCCAACATGACGAACCGGAGCTCACAGGCCAAAGCATGCCTGCGCAGCTAAGGCGATTGACGTCAAGGCTGTGTCGGTGGTGTTCTTGACTTCTGAGCCACCACTTTTTGTTGCGCCAGGTGGTATACAATCACATCATCACGGAGCCGTCTGCTGCGGATTGTGCGAAGAGGTGCCTCTGCCACCCTTAACCGGGCACCGTCGTGCACCGGTGGTTCAACAGACATGCGAACTCTAAGGTATGACAGGCAAGTGGAGATCAGCTGCGCGGGCAAGGTGGCCAAGCTTACCTCAATCATCTTCGGTCACAGGGATTCCAGCTGGCTTCTCTGCACAGTCTTGTTGGCACTGTCCTTGAGGCAGTACCCTTAAAGGTCAGCCTTCACACACACACACAGCTTTGAACAGAGTCGGTCTCCAAATTGCCAATCTAAAAACCTGCAGCCAACGGTAACTGAGATAAAACAAGGTGGGATGCTACTTCTCGCCTAGCAGAGGCATTGGGGCCACTTCCCCACCCTAGCAGCCCAAGAGTTGTGGCTGGGGAGTGAGGAGCAAGTCCTTGGGATCCTTTTCATCGGCAAAGAGCTATAGACAACTGCGCCGGTTTTGCGCGAACCATGCCTAGTAACGTCCTGGAGGCTAGGATCTTGATACACGCAGTATATCACAAACCCAATGTGTCTTTTGTGTGCAGCAGCCTCCGTGCGGGTTCGTACCATGCCAGTGCAGCTTCGGAAAGGTGTTTTGCATTGCGACTTCGCAAGTGGTTCTTCGGACCGAAGAAGCTGTGGAAGCTGTGGAGTCCGGTGGAATTGGCATTGCGCAGCTCTTCAAGCACTTTTCGATCGTGCCGGACTGCGTTCTGACGCTTGGCAGGGAAGCGGTCTAGCTGTGGGTTCATTGAGCAAGAATGCTGTCAAAGAACCACGAGACACGTCGCTTGGTGTAGTCAAGAGCGGTGGGATCCTCAACTCTCACCCTCCCCTCGGTTTTGCATGGGAGGCGGGGTTTGGAGTGGTTTGGAAACGTCGGTGCCGTGCGACTGTGCCTCAACTCGATGTCCTGACTGGGGCCTGGAGTCATGCGGAGATCTGCCATGCTTTGCTTATGCTGCCTGGGCCTAAGCTGCCTGCATGCAAAGCTGCACAGAGCCCTGCGAAACTGGGGACTTGCGCCATGCCATACCCGTAAAGACCTGGAGGTAGCACTGCTGTTGTTATTAGTGCCTTCAAGCCTACCGCCCAAGTCGGCCCTGCCGAGACTGGACGCGGGTGAGCAGCCTGGTTGCTTCGGAGAACTTTGGCGTGGCTGGCCGCAATGGATTGGGGTGCTATGGGCCTTGCAACCTTTATTGTGACGATTATAGTCGCATGATTTTCAATGTTTCTTACTTGATTAGATTATCAGCAATCGTTGCCATCATAGCAAAAGTTATTGCTGAAACTACCACTGTTGATGGTTGCGGTGATGATTGACGGAAAAAGCATGACCTTTCTGCCATGTCGTGTAGCACACACTTGTTTGTGCGAAGTGACAACTCATTATCTCACCTAAACACCGAATCGGTCAGGGGATTGACTCACCGATTCAATTCGATCGATTGCATACTCCGTGGCCATTTTGGCGAAAGCTGTTACAGCTTGAGCGAAATTTTGTTTCAGTCCCCTAGGATAACTCCTCGGTCATAGCCGCTCTTGGCGGCCAGTACTTCGAGTTCTATTACGACCGCAGCTGGCGGCCAGTACTTCGAGCACTACGGCTTCTCTGTCGGTTGTCGACAGTTTGAAGGAATCGCTCGAAGAATTCAGCCGCGAGCAAGTTCTCGAAGACTTCCAGATCGAGAAACCCGAGGACGTGACTTGGGGAGCTTGGAACAAACGACAATCCCGACAAATTCGAAAGGCCATCGACCAGATTTCTCAGTGTCGCACTGCGAATGACATTGTCAACCTGGCGGCGACCTTGTTGAAGCCGCCCAATCTCGAGGCCTTTCTGTACCTGCACATCACCAATCGCGACGACTCCGCGGAGCCGCTGACGGTACCGTTCGAGATCGTCGAGTCTTCCCTACACCCCGATTCCGATCATGTACCCCTTCCAGCGGACACCGATGCTGCTCTTCTTGTACATGAGACCGATCTGCATAATCAGCATTTGGCAGACATTTTTCGTGACGATTTCGGCATGGAACTTCATAATCCCGAACCCGCTGCATCTACAGCTCGAAAACGAAACTTCGAAGGGCGCCTCAAGCCCACCAACTCGACCTCCATCGATTTGGATTAGCAACTTCGCAGCCATGGCACAATCTCGCGCCGATTCTTGGTTCGACTTTCTCTGCGAGGGATCGACTTCGAATTTCACTGCACCGGTGCCGAGTACCATGCTACACGAGTTCCCGGAGAAGGTTCGCGACGAAGCCCGAGTCCCCGTCTCCGAGATACGACGACAAATCTGCCCCCGAATCCTCGAACTTAAGAACTGCAACATGCGCAACTGTGTGCACCTTCACCCCGATTTCCTCAACAAAGTCTGGGTGGTGCCTAATCTAATTTGCCACAAATGGTTCCAGGGATGCTGCGAGTACTACAATACCTGTTGGAACCAACACGGTCACACCTTCGATGCAGCTATGCGCCGAGTAATTGCCGAGACGAACCTCCATTTCACTACTCATCACGAGGTGCATTCATCGAGCAGGTGACCCGAGAACAGGCGCGCGAGTGGATCATGGACACGATGGCCACTTTCCGCCACACCGAGATGCGCAAATTCAACTTCGGCACCAACTTCTCCAAGTACTATGACTTCGAAGCATGGGACAAGTCGGATGCCGCGGCCAGACTCCGACAAGAAATCGCCGAAGGAAACCACCGTGGACGCTCTCCTCGACGAGCCCGTGAAGATTCCAGACCCCCGGCAACCTGGGGACAACCATCGACTCCACAACGAGGGAATATCTTCCCCACTTCGGGACCTCGATTCCCTCCGACGGCGGCACCGTCGGCGGCCCCTTCTACTGCGGCTCCCTCGGTTGCCCCTTCCACAGCACCGACGACTTCGACACCACGCCTGCCATTCTTTCAGTTGGGCACGGACACAGACTCCGACGCCCCCAGCTTCGGTCGCGGCTCCCGAACTGCCTTCCGCCACGGCGATGGAGCAGCTAGGGGTTCGCAACGACCGTTGTCACCGGCGAGATTCCCTCGGAGATCACAATCGCCGGCCAAACGTTGGCTCGACACCACCCCGATAATCGTCGAAGTGCCGGACGAGATTGTTGCCTCAACCCCGGCTCCGACTCCGACTGCCCCGCCGACTACCACGACACAACAGACTCGACCTTTGTCCCCGGACCCCTGGCATGATGACGATGATACTACGGAGCCGCCAACACCTCCGACTACGGCGACTACTAGTACTCCGGTGACACAGCCGAACAACCCGGCCACAGCGACGGCGGTGAACCCCGAGCGACTCCGAGTGGATTAATCCGTCGTTTGGCACGACGACCACCACGACCATCGTGGGGGCAAAGACGAAGGCTATGCCTAAACGGCCCTACCCCGATGC